GGGGGGGAGTTGGGGGTGGGTTGGTGGTCATCCTGCGAATAACTTTTTGTCATACTTCTCATACGCAAACCGAGTCTTAGAAGTAGAAATTTTAAGAATGAAAAATTTGAATTTCTTAACCTTTTTTGCCGTTCAAGCATTCGATTTCTTCTAGTTGTTTGATCAGGAACATTAGAAGGCTTTTCTTTGTACTGGGTTAGTCTAAGTAAGAAGAAAATAAAAGAAAGATCTTTTTAGACAAGAGGCAAAGAATCATCTCTGACAAAGGTCAAAAGTTTTWAAAAATTTTCCAACCACAAACCTTGGATGAGGCGCTGCAGTATCATTAGGATCCGAAGAAACCGAAAAGGCTGACGAAAAATTGTCTAAAAGTGACTCCATATCTTGAAGATGTTAAATAATAATAATAATAATTTGTATAACTTGTGACTTTTTTTGTAGTTGACAACTAGAATGTCGTTCAAAAAACGTTAAAAACATTATTCGACTTTCGGCTCAACTTGCAAGCGGTGAATATGTTGAAAAATGCGCGTAAGCTACACAACAGGAAGCCCATTAAATCCAACATTTTGTACTAAAAATATTCAAGAAATCGCTTTTGAAATATATTTTCTATTCAAAAAAGAAAACAAAAATACTTTGGAGTGAAATTTGGTATTTTTGTATTACTGTCTTGTTGGGAAGTTTTTGGTTATTTCGCAATAGGTTTACCACAGGAAGCCCAAGCAAGATACTCTTGTAAAAAAAAAAGCGTGTGCATCGATAATAGCTGCAAATCCCGTACAAAGAAAAAAGACAGCAGCAAGGATACAAAATTTGTACGCTAAATGCAAAAATTACCTAAGAAATTCAAATACTTTTCTTTGTATAAGTTTGCTTGGGCTTCCTGTGGGTAACTAGGAACGCCTGGTAGCTTTTGCATTCCAYGTGCAGCGAAGATTCAAAATGGCTTCTGCAAGTAGAAGTAGGCCGAATATTCTCATTACTGGAACACCGGGAACTGGAAAAAGCGTTATTGGTACAGAGCTAGCGAAGCGGACGGGACTGAACTATATCGACATCGGCGAATTAGCGAAGGAGAATGATTTGTATGAAGGATGGGATGACGAGTTGGATTGTCATATTCTGAATGAAGATAAGGTAGCTAAAAATTATTTTATCGTTATCCTGAAACAGACTCTAGGCTGATCTAAACCAGGGTACGGGTAACTCACAGATGGAATTGGAATTTAGCATATTAGGTTTTGTGGAGGGATAACCGCAAAACCCGCAGTAACACCTTGAAATCAAGGGAGACACCTAACAAACTCTGCTCGTATACATGTGATGGCGAGTCCAGGAATCCATTCCAACACCCCAGAGGTGCACTACTGTTACGACAACATTGACTCCCTAAAGTAGTGACAAAATTGTCCTCGTTCTATACATTCTGCCTTGTTAAGATATTTCTCTGTCCTACAGGAAACTTAATTATATTTTGGAGGATAATTTTACTTAATTATAAAATCAGAATAAGCTAATTAAGAGCGTATGTCTGTAAGCGTCGAGAATCTTAAATCAGTTTCAAAAAATCGAATTTCTTTTTATTGTACCAAAACAACCCTTTGGGTAAGTT